CACTATATATTCAATGCCTTGCTCATCACTATAAGCTGTGCAAAGAAGGAAATCATGCCAAGCAAGGACTTCGTGAGCAGCAAGAGCTTCATGAGAAGGAAGGACGCGAGAAACAAAAAGTTCATGAGGAGGAGGAACAAGAGAAGCAAAAATTTCGTGAGATGTCTATCGGGAAAAGGTTCAGGATGAAACCATGAAAGGTAGTGTAGTTTATGTGTTATTTTTGTACCTCAAACTTTCTCTTGCCTGAATTTTTGGCAATATTATAGCTTGTACTTCAAAAATTTTAATTCCATTATTTTTTGTTTGGTTTATAATTACCTTAGGGCATGTTTATTTTGCATCAAAGGAAAAAAGAAAGTAAGGAGTGATTCTCTTTCTTTTTGAATAATGTGTTTACTTACAAAATTAGTAGATTTAGTGGGCCTCCAAAATATAGAAAATAAAAAAAGAGAATATCAATTCTTGCACCCCTTTAATATTGATTCTTTGTCAAAAGAAATGCTAAATTTACTTATCTACCATTAATAAATTATTATACAATTAATTATTATTTAATTGTGTAAAATGGCATTTTAGTGATCACATTCATAAAATTACTATTCCTAATTTTAGTAAATATAAAAAAAGAAATGAGGTTATTTTTCATTACACCATATAATAATTAAGTAAATAAAAAAAATGAATGACCTTTAATCATATTCCTCTTTTTTTTCAATCTCATTACATTCTTTTACGGTTTACGGTTTAGTAAACTCACCCTTCATGTAAAAGTTGGATTACCTTTTGACTTTTTGTAATTCAACATCATTTGGTTCATCATTTTATAACCATACAAAGCATAAGGGAGAATTTTTATGTACACAAACTAGAACAAATCTTCATGCGTAAAGCAATATTAGAAAAGCAAAAAAGAATTTCTAATGTCAGTTTTTTTTCCTTCTTATAGCCAACATTTTGTTTGGTAAATATACATTCATTTGTCTAGAAATATTTCGTCATATGTAAATTTCAGAAAAAAAAAAGTGAATTTAAAAAAAATTAATTTTTTTTCCTTAAAGCACATAAATAAATTTTTGAATAATTATACCAAGGAAAACGGAAAAAAATTAGACAAGTTTTGAAAAGTTTTGTTTAATATCTACCAAACTCAGTGATTTATCAAAAAACAAAATATAATATTTTATTTTACTAAAAATATGAATAATATTATGTTTACCCAAAAAATACAAACTATTACTTGTTGGGAGTATTATTAATATATAATAGAAATTACAAATAATCATACCTTATATTTTGGGTTGTATCATATTATACCTTCAAATTAAGATCTTATACTTGATTCTTACCTTTCTTGTTCAATAGCCAATTTTGACCATGAAAAAAAAAACACAATCCTAAAAGCTTTTCCTACCATAAATATTGCCAATATCTTATTGTGATTATTAATTGTCAGTAACCTTGGACAGGTGGTGCCAGCCCTCAAGCATATGTCACAAGCAACAATATATATATATATATAT